TTTTTTTTTTTTTTTTCTTTTAAAGAAACTATGATATCTAGTACAGGAATAAAGAACATTGATCCATTTGACAAACTTGATTTGAGAGGCTTGGTCTTATTCCAACTTGGACTATTCCAAATTTAGGGGTGAGCATGGGTAATGGGTAGAACTAGAACCTGCCGGTACAATCGGAACCGAAACTGGAACCTACTCAGAACCAACACTGTGCGGGTAGGTTTCGACTCCGATTCTGGTTCCTACATGTAGAGGAGCCAAAACCGAAACTTGAAAAAAAAAAAAAAAAAAAAGAACTTGCAGCGGGTACTTGACTTGGAACCTGCAGCAGGTACCTGACTTGGAACCTGCAGCAGGTACCCGTTTTGGAACCTAGGTTTATATGAAATATCTGTGAAGAATGGGGGGTCTATTGTAATTTTACATATAAAAAATTTTAAATGGAAAAAGTTAAATTTTTACAATAACCTAATTAAATAAATATAAAATTATACTTATTACATATAAACTACATCATATAAAAACTTTAATATATTAATATTAAAGTTTTGATTAATTAAGTGTATAATTGGAATTAGGACCAATTAAAATTGTTTTAATGTTATTAAAAAAATTATTTTTTGAATAAAATAGTATATTTGATTGAATAATAATATAATATTTAGCTATTTACTTAAATTATCAAGTTCTAATTATATATGTAGTTAATTAGTAATTAATTAATTATATATGATAAATTGATCAACATTAATACATTACTAGTTAAATGATTACTTAATCAACTATAACATTACATTAGTGATTTAGTACATTACTTAATTAAATAATTAGAAATTTAATTAATTATAACATTACATTATAAACAAATTATTACTTAATTAAATGATTAGAAATTTAATTAATTATAATATTACATTAAAGATTTATAGTAGGATTACTTAAATCATTATAACATTACATTATAGTATGATCACATAATTAATTATAACATTACATAATTAAATAATTACTTAATTAATTATGACATTATATTATAAACATTAGTAATTTACTACATTAGTACAATGCTTAATTAAATGATTATAAATTTAATTAATTATAACATTACATTATAAATTTATAAAATGATTACTTAATTAATTATAACATTACCTTATAAGTAAATGATTATTTAATTAATTATAACATTCCATTATAAACATTAATACAATGCTTAATTAAATGATTAGAAATTTAATTATTTATAATATTACATTAAAGATTTATAATATGATTACTTAATTCATTATAATATTACATTATAGTATGATTACATAATTAATTATAACATTAAATAATTAAATGATTACTTAATTAATTATGACATTATATTATAAATATTAGTAATTTAATACATTAGCATAATACTTAATTAAATGATTAGAAATTTAATTATTATAACATTACATTATAAATTTATAGTATGATTACTTAATTAATTATAACATTACATTATAATTAAATAATTACTTAATTAATTATAATATTACATAAATAATGATTACTTAATTAATTATAAATTTATAACATTACATTATAAACAAGTATCGATTCCCTTGCCTTTTTGAAAATTGTTGACATAATGCACTTGTTCGGGTTGAGCAAACAAACTTCCTGCTTGGAATCTCTAGATAAATGATTTCCTGCACAAAATTCAATCTTAGAGAATGGGTTTTAATAGCATTTACCTTTAGGAACTCCCATTGCTTTAATGGCTGAAAGTTTACACCAACGCGGTGTAGCCATCGACTTCATGCACTCCCGCTACTCTCCTAGGAACATTCCTTTCCAAAGTCTCATGTAATTGTTGCTAGCATCACCTCAATCAATTATAGGATCCTTCGGTGTTTATTATTCAAACCTCCCCCTTGCAACATCAATCATCACTTGTATATTTCAGCAACCATTGAAAACGTTGACTGCACCATATGGCAGCTCATGGTGAGGACACCTCCGTAAGAGATCTTAACTCTCCCAAGCTTTTAGAGTGACTCCATATCTTGTAGAAAAATTGTGATGTCACCTCATCTAGCAGACTTGAAGGTGGAAATATTTCGTAAGGAATGCTTGAACTCATTCCATGTAGTAATACTTCTGATGGAGAGAAATCAACCAACTTAGCTTTATCCGAAGAGAGAATGGGAAAAGTCTAAGCCTAATTGCATCATCAATACTCCATTTGTGAATGTGTCACACCAAAAAGTTTGCAGATATGAGGTTGGGATCATCATTAGGTAACCACAATTGCCGAATATTGTATCAATTGAATAATTCTGGCTTTATTTCAAAAGATTTGCTTGAATTGGTGTCTCCTAATACTAGAAGCCATCCTCAATTAAGGTCTGAGAATCCTTGAGTGGCCTGTATCTGCCATTGAACCAAATTTATGTTATAGTCCAACACTAAATATAGAACTAAAAATTAAAGCACTAAAAACAAATAAATAAAAAATACAAACCAAATAGCAAATAAACAGCTTGTATTGATATTGAAAATAAATAATTCCCGGCAACGGCCCAAAAATGTTGGGATTTTCGCAAGTGTACGAAATCATGAAGTAAAAGTGTATAAATACGGATATCGAACCCAAGGGAATTACTAATTAATTACCAAAATTACTATCTATTACTATTTGATTAAGAAATTTTATCAAGGGAAATCTAAACAAATAACAATTGAATAAAAAAAAATGAAAAAAAAAAAAAAAATCAAATAATCTTGGGTTTAAGCAAGATGATTAACCTAGGCATGATTTCACACCAATCTTATTCATATGTATCGAACTTATGCTAATTTTATTAAGCTCTTCCTATAGGTCAAACTCCCTAATTTCAATAATTTTCTCCGAACAATTATCAAATTAACCCTAATTACTAACCGAATTATCTCTAATCAGATTTAAGCAATTGGAGATCATTACCTCTTGGAGTTTACCAAACCTCACAAGTCGGGTAACCTATCTCTAGCTTCGCTCAACCTATGGTTTTACACCATAGACCAACTAAGTATCATCTCTCATTCAACCTAGTCATTAGTTCATTCAATTCTTGGGCCATAAGAATCAAAAGCATTAAGCATAATAATAAAACTTAGGAAGAATCTAATAAAAATAACATAAAAATCAAACATAATCAAGAGATGGTACATCTTGACCCTAGGAATAAATTAGTTTAAATAACATGAAAGAAACAATCACTCTTATTAAAATAATCAACATGAGTTTATAAGAAAGAAAAGAAACAGAAGAACTTCCCTTATTGTGAATCAAAGCTCAAGAATTTTGACCCTTTTCTCCTACAGGTTTTTCTTCCTTATTCCCTAAAGAATTCCAAAATAATGCTAAAAACTTTATTTATATCCCACAAGGGTTAGGGTTTTATTTCCTTAATTTATTTAGTTTAGGACTCTTAACCCATTTTCCTAATAAAAAAAGAAGAAAATTCCTAACTGCGTGACTGGTCCTGGCATGTGGCTACGTGTGTCGATTTGACAAAGTGTGTTGCGCATAGTGCTGGCACAGTGATACTCTTCTTCTTTAGTCCAAATCCCCATTATCCTCACACTCCAGAGATGATGATTTTTAGAACAGAATAACGAGGAGGAGTGTAAACATATGAAATGTAGCCTTTGTAAGATTCCCAACAGCAAAACTAGTCTTGATCGAGGTTATAGCTTGAGATATGTTGAAACAAGAGCATGCTCAAAATGGAGCGTAATTCTCTACTTTTTACTTCAAAGTCATAACTTCTTCAATTCAAATCCGATTCTCGATGTTTGTTCTATGTGCATCATTCCATTGAGTATAAAATTTAGCACTAATAACCTAAAAAACACTCAAACACATTGATCCCATAAAAGACAATTATGAAAATCAAAACAACTTTACCAATTAAGTTATTTCTCACAAATAATCCCATAAACCATAAGAAATGTGTATTTTCAAGCTCTTATCAGCAGTACCTAAACGACGCATGACAGCGAGATTTGGACATGCACTGTTTGGCGTTTCCGACCAGATCGAAGCTAGATCACCATGGTCTGGCCAAAAAATGGCCAGATCCACTCCAATCTGGCTATTTCTAGCTAGATTGTAGGCCAAAAATAGCCAAATCACATGGATATGAGAATAAGGCACAAATGGCCAGATCTGTTCTAGCCGTTTTCGGCAAGATCCACGGTGATCTAGCGAGTTTCGGCATCCTCGGCCGATTTTTCTAGGGGTAAACGAGGGTATTTTTCTTCTAAGGTCTCAGCTACTTTATCATCAAGGATGCTAATCTCAAAGCAAGTATCTAACTTGGGTGGACATTTCATAGTATCAAAAACATTAAATTCAACTTCTTCATCCTCTACCCTCAAGATTAGTTTTCCTTTATGCACATCTATCAACGTTCTACCCGTAGTTGGAAAAGGTCTTCCTAAAATTAGAGGCACCTCCCGATCTTCTTCCATTTCTAATACAATAAAATCTACCGGGAAAAATAGTTTATCTACTTTTATTAAGACATCCTCTACTACTCCCCTAGGATATTTTATAGACCTATTTGCTAACTGAAGATGAACAGTGGTTGGTTTTACTTCCCTTAGGCCTAGTTTCTTATAAATTGAAAAGGGCATCAAATTTACACTAGCACTTAGATCACATAAAACCTTATCAAAATGATTACTACCTATTGTGCAAGGAATTGTGAAACTCCCTGGGTCTCTGAGCTTTTGTGGTAGTTTCTTCAATAGCAATGCACTACACTCTTCCGTAAACATCACTGTCTCATGTTCTTCAAACCTTCTCTTCTTGGTGAGAATCTCCTTTAGAAACATTGTGTACTTCGGCATTTGCTCCAACATGTCTACAAAAGGAATGTTAATGTGTAAAGTTCTAAACATGTCCATGAACTTACCCAATTGCCTGTCTAATCTTTGTTTCTACACTCTGTGAGGATACGGGAGAGTCATGTCATCGTTCGTCACAACATGGGCATTTTCGTCAATTTTTTCCCCTGTATTGCGACACACTTGGTTCTGCCCTCTTTTTCATCTTCAAGTTTTTCCCTTGTTTCTCCTTCTTTGCTTGCTTCCTTCAACTCCTTACCACTTCTCACCATGATAGCATTGATTCTCTCCTTCAGATTCTTCTCGGTATCACTCGGCAATGTTCCTTGAACTGTTCCTGCTAAAATATTATAGATTAGCCCCATTTGAGTTTCAAGATTTCTTATGGAAGCGGATTGGTTTTGCAATAAAACTTCATACTTTTGGAGTTGAGCTTCATTCTTGTCAGATCTATTTCCTGACTCCTCCATGAATTTAGTGAGCACACTCTCCATATTAGATCTCTTCTCTTGAGGTTGGAAGCTTGGTGGTGGTTTGTGCTCATTGTTGTTACTCCATACGAAGTTTGGATGATTTTCCCATGCTGGAGTATATGTGCTTATGTAACACCCACATCAAGATACATAATTTTATTTTTTCCCTAATAACCTTAGTTGGATTTCTTTGAAGTTACCTTAGACAAATGTGAAGAAAACTCCTTAAAACTTCATTAGGGGTAAAATGGTATTTTCACTCATAATTAGATGAAAAAGTGGGGAGTGAAAGGAATCAAGATAATGTGAAGAAGATAATAGAAATGAGGGTATTTTGGTAATTGACTATAGGATATAGATGGGATTTCATAGAGAGTGCAAGGGCAAACTAGGAATACATGTGTATATTATTAGATATAAGGTTTCATTAGAAGAAACCCTAACCCATTTTTAGCCTTTGTACATGCCACCCTCATCCCTTTTTCTCTCAAATTTCTTCGCCAAATCTCAAGGAGAATTCATAGGATTTGGCTTAGATTTTTATAGATTTTCAATCATAAAGCATCCAAAGGTAAGATTCTAGCACAAGGTGTGTGATTAAACTTTAAAGTTTTAAATTCTTATGGTTTTTATATGATCTAGGTCCAAGAGGAAGATACTTTTAGCAAAGGGAGGTTATATCACACATTCAAGGTAAGTAAACCCAATTTTAGCCTTGATTTGAGCAAGACTTGTGTAGAATGATTCTTGCATGTTTGTATGTGAGAATAATTGGCTGTTTTTGATGTTTTTGATGTGTAATTTCCAGCCATGAGAAGTAGTGTATGAGTATGTGGTGATTTGGTGAAGTTATGGAAGAATTATGGTTGAAATTTTGAAGTGTTGAGAATTGTTGAAACCGGCCAGGTTTAAAGCTAAAGTTAGTGAGTTTTTGCTCAAGTTTTGGTGGATTTAGAGAGATGTGGAAGTGTAGCCAACTAAGTATTTGCATGTGCATATGAATTGTTTGATGAAAATCCAAAGAGAAAATGCATGCATGAGTTGGTTAAACCTTATTGAAGAAAGGGTTAGAGAAAGGCAAGAATTGAAGTAGAAAGATTATGTTAGGCTTAACCAAATGTAAATTTTAGTATTTAAGAGTGCATATTGTTATGCCAAAATTTATAATATCACTTGGTCATGTTAGTTCAATGAGAGAGATGGCCGTTAGTGCTTGGTTCAAGTTACTTGAACCTTTATTACTTCTTGAATAGCACATTAGTTAAAGTGTTACTTTGGTATGGCATTGTTGATAGTAGAAAATGGTAGAATATGTCATGACATATCAATATGTCATAATGAATTCTCAAGTTATGTATCAAAGAATGAGCTTGATCATGCATATATTGTGCATATTATTTATATTAAAGAATATGTTAGCAAAGAATGAGAGAAAGAAAGAAAAGAAAATGGCTTATAGATTCTTTTTAAGCTAACATGCAAATATGCATAGTTTCTTATGTATTAAAGAAGGCAATTGTAGAATTTCCATAGCTTGGAAATTTATTTAGAAATGTGTATAAAATCTCTTTCTATTCTCTTTCTACATAATGTTATGTTAGAAGGTTGTTGTGATGGGGAACCCGTGAGTGACAAAGATGTAGAAAATTCCTACATGCACGCTGCCATCAGTGAGCGGCCTCAGAATAGCAAAACAGAATTAGTACAGTTTGTCAGCAGTGCATGTGGATGAGGACAGTACCCAGAAAGAATTCTAGAAAACACTCACATGGCCAGGGTTCCAAATCTATGCCTCAGCCTAGTCCGATCGGCAAACCATAATAGAAAACAAAAAAGAAAAGAAAGAGAAACAAAATAAGAAATTGAAAACAGAAAAGAAAAGGAGAGACAGAATAAGAAATAGAAAACAGAAAAAAAAAGAAAGAGAAACAGAATAAGAGATAGAAAACAGAAAAGAAAAGAAAGTTCATTTCTTAGAAAAAGTTTATTATTCTGCATATGTGTTATGCTACTTGCATTATTTAGAATTTCTTATGTGCTCAACGATGTACACTTTTATTAATTGTCCTTGCACGTTAGTAAGTAGCAAATCAGAATATTAGAAAAGAATGCAGAATACAGAAAGGAATGAAGAATATTCGAAAAGATTAAAGTCAGAAAAGGAAAATCAGAATATGAGTAACGGAGGAAAAACAGTAATGTAGTTTGGTTTACTTACTGAGCAATTAGTGCTCACTCCATTATTTTCCTATTTTACAAGTACTAGATGATTTACGGTCAAGTGGGACGTCAGCAAGCGGAGGAGTTTGGCGGCACTGTCCAAGAATATTTTGTACTTATCAAAAGTTATTTAGTGGATTTTTTTATATATTTCTCAAAGAATTACTAGCTAGAGAGAATATTACAGCTTAAGTATGGATTCCCTTACCCTTTTTGAAAATTGTTGACATAATGCACTTGTTCGGGTTGAGCAAACAGACTTCTTGCTTGGCAATCTCTAGATAAATGATTTCCTGCACAAAATTCACATGTTAGAGAATGAGTTTTAATAGCATTTACCTTTAGGGTAACTCCTAATTGCTTTAGAATGGCTGAAAGTTAAACAACCAACGTGGTGTAGCCATCGACTTCATGCACTCCCGCTACTCTCCTAGGAACATTCCTTTCCAAAAGTCTCATGTAATTGTTGCTAGCCATCACCTCAATCAATTTATAGGCATCCTCTGGTGTTTTATTATTCAAACCTCCCCCACTTGCAGCATCAATCATCACTTGTATATTTGGCAGCAACCTATTGTAAAACGTTTGTAGCTGCAACCGTATTGGCAGTCCATGGTGAGGACACCTCTGTAAGAGATCCTTAAACCTCTCCCAAGCTTCATAGAGTGACTCCATATCTTGTTGGAAAAAATTTGTGATGTCACTCCTCATCATAGCAGACTTGACAGGTGAGAAATATTTCGTAAGGAATGCTTGAACTAACTCATTCCATGTAGTAATACTTCCTGATGGTAGAGAAATCAACCAAACCTTAGCTTTATCTCGAAGAGAGAATGGGAAAAGTCTAAGCCTAATTGCATCATCGAATACTCCATTGTGTTTGAATGTGTCACACCAAAAAGTTTGCAATATGTAGGTTGGGATCATCATTAGGTAACCCCACAAATTGAACCGAATATTGTATCAATTGAATAATTGCTGGCTTTATTTCAAAAGTATTCGCTTGAACTGGTGGCCTCCTGATGCTAGAATAACACCCTTCAATAGTAGGACTAGAGTAGTCCTTAATTGCTCGTTGAACCACTACCACTCCTATAGTTGCATTGCCCCCTGTGATTTCCTCATTTTTGGGATTACTCATATTTTGATTTATACTTCCCTTGTCAGCTACTACTTTTTCTAAGTTGGCTAGCCTCGTTTCCTTTTTCAACTGCTTAACTGTTCTCTCTATCTCAAAATTGAAAGGATTAAGATCACCACTATCTTTTGAACGTAAGTTCTCCAGGATCTAAAACAAAAAACAAACACGACAAAATAAGAAAAAAAAATTAACTTTGAAGCAAAGATAAAACAAATCAAACTAGCAACTAAATAATTCGTAATGATATTGAAAAAATAAATAATTCCTCGGCAACGGCAACAAAAACTTGTGGATTTTCGCAAGTGCACGAAATCGTGTAAGTAATAAAGTGTATAAATACGGATATTGAACCCAAGGGAATTATTATTATCAATTACCAATTAAACTATCATGTTACTATTTGATCAATCGAAATTGTATCAAGGAAAACCTAAATCAAATAAAATTAACAATTGAAATTAAAAAAAACTGAAAAGAAAACAACTAAAATAAATCTTCGGGTTTAGAGCAAGATGATTGAACCTAAGGCATGGATTTCACACCAACTCTTATTCATATGTACTGATCACTTATGCTAATTTTATTAAGCTCTTCCTATAGGTCAAACTCCCTCAATTTCCAATAACTTTCTCTCGAACAATTATCAAATTAACCCCTAATTACTAACCCGAATTATCTTTAATCAGATTTAAGCAATTGGAGATCATTACGCTCTTTGGAGTTTACCAAACCTCACAAGTCGCGGTAACCTATCTCTAGCATTCGCTCAACCTATGGTTTTACCACCGTAGACCAACTAAGTATCATCTCTCGATCTCAACCTAGTCCATTAGTTCATTCAATTCTTGGGCCATTAAGAATCAAAAGCATTAAGCATAATAATAAAACTTAGGAAGAAATCTTAATAAATTAACATAAATAACTCAATACATAATCAAGAGATTGGGTTACATCTTAGCCCTAGAAAAATAAAGTTAGTTCATAATAAACATGAAAGAAACAATCATCTTCATTAAAATAATCAACATGAGTTTATAAGAAAGAAACAAGAAGAACTTCCCTATATTGTGAATCAAAGCTCTAGAAATTCCGACACTTTTCTTCTCTACAGGTTTTTCTTCTTTATTCTCCCTAAAGAATTCCCAAAATAATGCTAAACAACTTTTATTTATATCCCACAAGGGTTAGGGTTTTATTTTCCTTAATTCTATTTAGTTTAGGACTCTTAACCCTATTTTCCTAATAAAAAACGGAAGAAAAATTCCTAACTGCCGTGACTGTGCCTTGGCATTGTGCTACAGTGTAGTCGATTTTGACAAAGTGTGCTACGGCATAGTGCTGTGGCACAGTGATAACTCTTCTTCTTTAGTCCAAATCCTACATCATTCCTCAACACTCTAGAGATGATGATTTTTGAGCATGATAACGATGGAATCTGGAGAGATGGTAAACATATGAAATGTAGTCCTTTGAATTAGATTTCCAACAGACAAACAATCATCTTGATCTGAGGTATATAGCTTGAGATATTGTTGAAACACCGAAGCATGCTCAAACTGGAGCGTAATCTAGAATCTCCTCTTTACTTCAAAGATCCATAACTTCTTCAATTCAACTCCGATTCGCAATCCGTTTGTTTCTACTTGTCAATCATTCCATTGTTGCTATGAATCTTCATTCGAGTATAACATTTAGCACTAATAACCTGAAAAACACTCAAACACACCCTTGATCCCATAAAAGACAATTATGAAAATATCAAGCAACTTTACCATGTTAAGCCTAATTTCTCACAAATAATCCCCATAAACCACTAAGTAAATGTGTATTTTCAAGCTCTTATCACTTCTCAACATCGATTCTTGACAATATTTTTAAGCTTCTCATTTGTAGCCATAATCTGCAGCATATTCTTGGTTCTTTAACCGAATGTCCAACATCCAGAACAACCTGTCAAAAAGCAGTGAAGTGAAGAGAAATTACTGATATACCAAAATTATATTTGCTATAACAATTACAGGGAAATTATAGTTGTACTTAGTAATTTTGGTTCATCAAACCAGAACTTCTTGACAATACCACCACTCCATTTTAGCAACAATCGATGGATAAGCAGTCCTCATATCGCATGAATGCAATCATTTTTAATGAATACTATTGTTCCAAGTTTCATATTTAGTGACTTTGATTTCTTTGTTCCGACCTTGGTTCCATCAGTCAAAATATCTTTCAATGTTGTTAAAAGATAAATGAAGCTATCGACACACAGAAAAGAGAGGTGTTTCCGCAATATATGCAAGCTATGAAAAACTACATAGTTTTCACCTTAATATGCATGCAATCAACTATGGCACAACATGATGTTATGCGAAGTAATTAGCATCCCTGGTCAAAGATCAATGACCAGTACACGCTTTGTTTGAGAGATAAAATACTGTCTATTAATTTCAATCTTGTGGATTCAAGAGTTATTATTCGTAGATTTAAGTTTCTTTGTGGATTCAAACTACTACACTAAAGTGTATACAATGCTTATCCCATTTCGTTTTGTCAGAACACACACACAAAAAAAAAAAAAAAAAAAAAAAAGTCTTTATTTGCATAATCATTAATTAAATATTGAGTGATTAATTATAAAATATATGAGTTATGACAATTGTATTAATCAATCTCTTTTAGTCAACAACTAACATTTGTTACCATAAATGTAAAAATATGTCACAATAACTTTTAACCCCAATCACTGAGGTCTTACGTTCAAACCTTTGGGCCACCTACCACTTTGTGATTTACCTAGTCTTTTGGGCTTATAGGGTGTTCAATGGATCTCGGGGATTAGTTTAGTTGCATGTAAGCTAGCCCNAACAACTAACATTTGTTACCATAAATGTAAAAATATGTCACAATAACTTTTAACCCCAATCACTGAGGTCTTACGTTCAAACCTTTGGGCCACCTACCACTTTGTGATTTACCTAGTCTTTTGGGCTTATAGGGTGTTCAATGGATCTCGGGGATTAGTTTAGTTGCATGTAAGCTAGCCCAGACATCCCGATTACCAAAAAGCAAAAAAAAAAAAAAAAAAATGACAGATAATTAGTAACAATTTTTGTAGCCACAAAATAAATTATGAGAGAAATTTTATTTTTACATAATCAGTTTTTTGTTAATCACTCTATGTCACTTTTTTTTTAGTTTATCAGTAATGGGTATGCTTAACCACCATAGTTGATGTTGGAAGATTTTAAATGAAAGGTAATGCAACCTTATGGTCGTTGATCATAGTTTAATAATAGTGTAATGCAACTTTAGACTAGACAAAACATTTGCCCCAATGTTAGTCTCCATTCATCTTAATTTATATTTTATCAACTTAGACCATTAAAAATTTTTATTTCTCATTATGTGAGGATTAATGCCAACTTCAATAAAGAATCTTGACTATAACAAAGTCCTCTACCCCAACAAGAAATTTATCAACAACCTCTTGAGTTTGACAACTTCTTTTCATAGACTGATTCATCCATCTAAATTATAAACTCATAATAAAAAAATAACAACATAAGTTGCAACAATCAAATCAGAAAATCCAAATAAGGAAAAGTACATAAACAACCTTTCCCCTTTTGGTTGGATGATAAACCCTTTAGCTACTGGGGTTAGCAATACCTAGGGGGTCTTATATTCAAGTCGTAGGAGAGATACCTATCACATTTATGCAATTACCTTAGTCAATTGGGTTTGTAGGGTGTTTCATGGCCTTGAGGATTAGGTAGGCTCTAATGTGGGCATGGATACCTCATACACAAAAAGTGCATAAACACAATCAATCATAAGGACAGAACAACTAAGGGCTTGTGGAGGCTCATGCCCCGACTGACATTGGAAAATTTGTTAATCCCATTCTATTTTGTTTCTGTAACAAAAGCCCTATTCTTCAATGAAGTTTTTAAGGCTTTGTGCTCCCATTTTCTATGTTTTTTTTTTCTCCAACCTTTAAAATTTTTTAAGCTTTGATTTTTTCATCTCTCTCATGGTTGAACATAGAGTACATCAATAAAAACTGTTGATGCTTGATTTTGACACCAATGACCTCGCACGTGCAAAGTGCAAAGCAGGTCTTAGAAATTACAAATCTGCCGCTGAGTTCAAGGTAATGATTACAAATATGCAAGTGCGTAGGTGTTGTGCAAGTCCTTCCTTGCATCCCATTACTTGATAACTTAGGAAATATCTTTAAATTATATGGGGCTTGGATAGGTGTGCAGACCTCATTCATTCACAGACAAGACCTGAACCTCCTGGGTTGGTGACAACCATATTTTCTCTGTCTTTGGGCGACATGGTAGATCTTGGATAGTGCAAAGCCTTCCTGAACTCTGGTTGGTGTTTGTTGATGTAAGCTCACGTCAGTCCTGATTTTTTAAGCATAACAGAAGCTCCCCAGTTCTTAAGATTCAAGGGATTGGATCTTGAGAACTTCATGATTATACTGTGACCTGACTTTTCTTCAAAAATGTTTGCTCGAACTGAA